GCCCCCCCCCCCCCAATCCTTTTGTACCATGTGGCAAACTACTTCCTAAATAAGCAAACACAAAAGATGTGTACACACACTGCGCACAGCTGTGACTACGCACAAAAACATGATTCACAAATCAACTAGTGCGTAATTAACATCTCTACATGACCGCTGCATTTCTAGTTGAGCGGAAGAATTCCGTGACAACACGAACAGGGCAGCCACAACTGACCCAAACACATCAACATTTTGGCTGGCGACGGGCGCAAAACAATAAATGCACACAAGATTTTAGTCCGAGATCCAGAGGGAAATACACCACTTGGGAAGACCTATGGACAGAAGTAATTATGCAACTATCAGCTTGTGAAGCCAGAATTTGTCATTTATGTAAAAATTTCTTAATCCTGAAACGTTTGGTGTGCCAGAATGACATCCACTTCGCGCTCGTGAGATGGATACAAGGGTCATTCCACCCTTGTTTATCTACTGAGCATGGCAAACACATCCGAGGCATCTACGGGGAAATTAGCGCCACTCGCTCAAAGAAACTCCAACAGAGGAGAGATCATTCCTTTTCGGGGTCATTTAAAGCGGCACCAGAAGTGCCCCACCGAAGCGATTTGGCTCCTGCACGTGGCGTTACATTCCAAGAGAAACGAAATCCGTGGAACGCGAAGACGATACGCGTTTTCTGTTCTGTTCTCCTCAAATAACGCAGGCAACCCCTTCGACCGACCACAGACAACCGTGTGTTTCGTTGCTTTAAAATTAATAATTCCAGTGGTTCAGAATTCGAGAAGGCCTCTTTCACAACACAGCACTTGATGAAGGCAGGTGAGATTCCTGTGGTAAGCTACACATAAAACCTCTCAGTTTGAAGATGGCTGTACTTCGTACTCACATCAAATTCATCGCTGCTGTGTTCTGAAAAAGCGTTTGCAAGCGACGACATTTAAAACCTTTTAAAGCCCCTCGACGACTTCATGAACTACGCGCATTACCAAATCAGCAACTCTGCATTTTATATACACGACCTTCAAATGGTTTTCACTGTAGACACAATACTACTTCCTGAAACAGAATCAAGCAGCTGATATTTGTACGTTGAACTGCAGTTTTATTCGCGGTACAGAGAAGAATTTCTTTGTGCAAGGTCTGATGGGAAGGCTTCGGCTTTTGGAAAAGACGATAAAACCTTATCTCAAAGAAGTAGCGTGTGGACCAGATTCATCTGCCTCAGGGTGAGGTCGTGTGACCACAGAAACGAACCTTAGGGCCCCATAAAAAGAGTGTCATTACACTACCCAAGACTTTCGACTGAGTTTGTCACGAGGAGTTTAAAGAGTGTCATTACACTACCCAAGACTCTCGACTGAGTTTGTTACGAGGAGTTCGGTATTTTTCTGGAATTGGCCACCACTGTTGTCCAAGCTCTGGAAATGAGAGTGCTTATTTCGTGTTAAGGAAGTCGTAAGATCGAAGCTTGTACCAGAAAGACCCTGGGATTGATCATCAGGCTCCTGCCAGCGAGGGGGACGAACAAAGGTTTTCCAATATCAAATTCTGGCCATGTGTGTGGTTTCCTAGCAACGATACACCCTATTGAGGGTGGGGGTGGGAGTAGGGAACCAAGCCAAGCCACGCATCCAGACGAGAGGTGGGACGAAGTCCCCTAGAACACAGCTACAAACTGTGAATCACAGAGCTGAATTTTGTCTCGTCCAAACTCAATGTCACCTTCAGGCTTGATCTCCACGTTCCTATGAAAAGTTTGAAACCCAGTAAATGAGGACGTTTTAAAGGTAACATTTGAATCGCACTCTTCTACTTGGCAAATAAATCAATGTAACAATTATTAAATTACCAGCCTGGAAATAACTTTTTAGTTCTGTTTGATTGGACTGTGTCAGTGCATTTCTGCCTACTTGTTCCCTATTGCGCACAGGAGTCCGAACCATGCGTCTCAAATGAAGCAAAACTTGGTTATCAGCTGCCGAGTATCCAGAAAATAAGAATTTCACTACGCACTTCCGCAGTGTAGTTAGTCCACATAACAGCGTTCGGTAAGATAAAACAAAATGTGGAACGGAAAGGAACACTTCCTTCCTCTTAAATTATCGCACGTTGCGTGGGTGGATGGGTACTATAGTAAACAAAGTGACGTACCGTGGCACTACCGGATGGTCACTACGCACTTGTCGGTAACACGCCCACCTGCAGACATCGGCCCCGCCATTTGATATTGCAACCGGCAAAATTAGGAAATTTAAAGTCGTTATTCTGCATCGGATGACAAAAACTGATCCAAATACCCAAAGGTGGTCTTCCCCCATCATCATTTTACGGGAAAAGAAAACTATTCGAGCCTTATGGGGTCAAACGTGG